ACAACCTCACTGGCCCCTCTGATCAATATGAATTTCTAGCATGATCACTTCTCACACACGTAGCATTAACATGATGATTTATGCTAATAAAATTCTGTATTGATGGACATATCAATATCCCTGTCTCTGAGAGCACAGCGCACATAATTTAGCCCCTAAAGTTGCCTCCATGAAAACACCTTAGATCAAGTAAATGAGTCTTTTTTTTTTGGCCCTTGAAAGACTCCAGTTTCTTGTGTATAAACAATCAGTCATCACAGTTTTAACTCCTCTAAGTTGTCTCTGGTTTACAGAAGCTGTATAAATTTTCACTCCACATCAACTGGCATTCGTGCTGTAGAATTAAATTTATTTTATTGTTTCTTTCCAAATTATTTCTGGAACTTTCTTTTTTTCCCTTGGCTTAAAATTCTTCTTTGATAAAGTACATATATACATATGTACACACACACGTGAACACATATACATACATACACACATATGTACATACATATAGTTGTAGTTTTTCTTAATACCTTTCAACTGTAATTGCTGAAATAAAAACTGTAATAAAAATTACAATTCTACCTATTGTAGCTAATCATCTTGAACAAATCCATCTATCTATAAAGTTAATGTGAATGTTTTGTGTCTTAATACTCCACAATCCCCTCCTTCTTCAGTAATCCAAGGTCTGAGGGTTGTTGTCAATTGGTGTGTATCCTTCCAGAAACATTTTGATTTATATATATCTACTCAGCAAAATCTCCTTTAAATAACTTCTATTTCACCCTCTTGCTTGTTTAAGGACATATTCTGAATGTGTATTTTAAGTAGGAAAAATGTGGTTTATGATAAGCCCTGGGGAAAACACGAAGATGGTAATATATAATTTTGATTTTCCTCCAAGTTTCTCTATTATTAAGAACAATTTCCACTTGATATTGATGTGATGGCCTCTTCCAACTTGAAAATGGGGATTATCTTCCTCATTCAGACAGGGGTGGGAATCCTGGGTAATTCCTTTCTTCTTTGTCTTTATAACCTCACTTTGTTCACTGGGCACAAGGTGAGACCCACAGACTTGATTCTCAAACAACTGGTCATAGCCAACAACTTGGTGCTTTTCTCCAAAGGGATCCCTCAGACCATGGCAGCTTTTGGATGGAACTATTTCCTGGATGATGTTGGATGTAAACTTGTCTTTTATTTACACAGAGTGGGCAGAGGAGTTTCCCTCAGCATCACCTGCCTGTTGGGTGGCTTCCAGGCCATTAGGCTTCATTCTAATATCTCTGGGTGGATGGAGCTCAGAATAAGATCCCCAAAGTGCATTGGCTTCTGCTGTTTTGTCTGCTGGATTATGCATTTCCTATTAAACATCTATATTCCTATGAAAGTAACTGGGCCATTGAACAGCAAAAACCTTAGTTTGAAAAAAATATATGGCTACTGTCCTGGGCTACCACTAGATAAATTTATAGGCTCAATAAATGTTGCCATGTATTTTTTCTTTGACTTTATGTGTTTGGGCCTCATGGCCTGGGCCAGTGGCTCGATGGTATTTGTCCTGCACAGGCACAAGCAGAGAGTCCAACACATTCACAGCCACAACCTTTCCTCTAAATCTTCCCATTAGGCCAGAGCCACGTGCACCATCCTGATCCTGGTGAGCACCTTTGTCTCCTTTTACTCTCTCTATTCTATTTTGTCTTTTTGCATAGCGCTTATTCTGAGTCCAAAACAGTGGCTGGTAAGCACTGCTGTGTTCACAGCATCATGTTTTCCTGCATTCAGCCCCTTTGTGCTCATCAGCACTGATGAGCGTTGTCTCTCAGTTCTACTTTGCCTGCTGGACGAGAAAAACAATTTTCCACAATCTAGTAAGATGGCAGTATATCTTTTATCTGTGCAGGTTACTACATTTTTAATTTTACCTTTTATTAATATATAGTAAACGATTTTATGCTAGTTACACTTCTAGAATTCTGTGATACACGGTGATTAAGAACAACAACATCCCATCTTCCTAGAGCTTATAGTTTAACCAAAATATGAGATTACCTATACATGCAAAGATAATCTACATATGCTATATTCCTCAGTGAAGTTCAAGGTCGTTTGTGAGAGTATAATGTAGGAAAATGAACTAGTTTGTGACCATAAGTAAAACATCACCTGTGTTGGGTTTATACAGGGCCTTCTAATAGTTTAAATATTTTTTTGTAAACATAGATGGAGGCTGCATCTTCCAAGGAAAATCACCTGGAATGTCCCATGTAGGAAATGCACATGCAGCCTCAGTGAATAACAAAAAATTCCCGTGTTCCTGGCAGAATATTGTAGATTAGATTTCTAAACTGTGTCCTAATAATAATGGTAGCCCAAGGCATGGGTTCAGTAACATGAGTGAATTACCACCTTTGCTTTTAGACATCGTTTAGTACATATATAATTAAATGTGTTTTATTTCAATAAACTTCCATTTCAGTTCTAATTCTAGTCAAGATGTTTTGGCTTAATGGTTATCAAACCTAATGTATTTCCAATTTTCAATCATGAGCTTTTATTAATTTAATGAAAGGCAAAATTTCAAAAGAGCTTGCACTTAATTTCTCACATTTACTTTCAAATATGAGTTTTCTTTTCAATGATCTAATTAGCTGTATTTAATTAATACTGCTCATATTGTCTTTAAAGATTTAAACTTAATCTTTTAATTTTTCTGAAGATTTCAGGCAATTTTACAACTGTTTTACAGTTACTTCTTTTTTAATGTTTTATTTTTTATTGAAACATAATTGATCGTATATATCTGTGGGATACAGCATTAAATATCAATACCTGTGCGCAATATGTGATGCTCAAATCAGGATAATTAGTATATTTAACACTACGCAATGTAATCATATTTTGTGGCCCTTTACCAATTTCTCACTACAGCCCCCTCCCACTCCCTCTTTCCCACTTCTAGAGGCCTAAGTTCCGTTCTCTCCTTTTGAAAGTTTGATGAATTATTGTGATCATTGTATCTTTCTTTTATTATTTACCTATTTTTTTAGCTTTCACTAACGAGTGAGGGTATGCAGTATTTCTCTTTCTGTGCCGGGCTTATTTCCCTTATCATAATTTTCACTAAGTTCACCCATGTTGCTGTGAGTGGCAGAATCTCATTCTTTTTTATGACAGATTAGTATTCCATTGTGTATATATACCACATTTTCCTTATCCAGTATCTGTTGATGGACATATAGGTTGATTCCAACTCTTGGCTATTGTAAATAGAGCTACAATGAACATGGGAGTGCAGCTATCCCTCTGACATGATGACTTCCATTCCTTTGGGTATATACCCAGAGCTAGAATTGCTGGGTTGGATGGCAGTCAAGTGGTCAGTGGGCTGCCTGCACAGTGGCCATGGCTGCTGCTGTGGTGGCAGGCCGCCCTTGCAGTGGCAGTAGCTGTGTTGGACCACCCCCATGGAAGTGGTGTTTGTGGCAGTGGCAGGGGCTGCCCATGGTTCCTGCTGAGGACCCCCCGTTTTATAGCTACTCTTGATAAACCCTAGGACTGAATTCTGTTTCTTGAGAATGTGTAGCCTTGTATTTGTTTGCACTCAAAAATGATGAGATTTAAAGGCCTTCTTAAGTCCAATTAATTTTTATAAGAATGTATACACTCTGCAACTATTTCTTGAGCAATAGTCTGTGATGAGGCCTTATTCTTGCCATAACCTCCATTCACACAGGCTTCACTATCAGGTGAGGGGTGTGTTTTTCCAATTCATACTGATTTCAATACTTTCCAAGTACCTAACCCAGGTTACAAACTGTCCTCTGTAATCGTAGGGTAATTTCTAGACCAATTAATTCCTGGATAATCGATGATGAAACACTGTGTATAACACTTTACCTTAGTCCAATCACACTTAATTCAGACAATAATCAATGAATCCACAGAAGATATAGCAGTTTAATTATCTACGATGACCCTGCCTCTCTGAGTCAATCAGACCCACTTCATAAAGCAGTGAGCACCCCCAGACATGCTCTAACACCTTCTGTCTCAATACTTTTCTCATCTTCATATCTGCCCTGTGTTCATATTTACCTGTTGGTTCTACAGTAGAGGTCACATTTTCTCTTTCAATAGTAGTTCTAAAATTATTTCATTTATATGAATTCACTAACAACATATCCACATAACTCACAGTATCCTCATGTACAACTGAAAGATTAGAAAGCACAGATTTACAGGCTATAAACTCCAGCCATCATTCCACAATAAAGCTTGACTCAAATACTGCACTGTCCAAGTTCCAGATCATGTTCTTTATGGAAATAGTTGGCTTCCTAGTAATTCTGATTATCACGCAGTTTTTAAATTAAATGAACCATTTTGGAAAAGATTTTTTTCGTTTTTGTGTTTTGTCATTTAATTTTATGCATTGATCTTTCACAGTGCTTCACCTCATTTTCACTCAGGCAATCGCTCTCTGGGTCTGAGGAATTGATACTGACACTGACTTTGTGTTTATGTCTCATGACTGTCCCTCACAACAGAGATCTTATTTGAAAGAGAACTGCCACTTAAGCCTAATATCCAGCCTTCTTTTTCTTCATTTTCTATTTCCATTTTTTTTCTCTTCTCCTGCTTTCTGTGTAATAGGTCAGGTGTGTTTCATCTCCATTAAATCTATACATTATATTTCTGTTTTTCAGTGGCTTCACTTAATATTTATTCATATCAATTTTTTCTTTATGCTCTATCGTGAAATATGATATTGGCATAGGGAATTGCTTAATGCATATTTAGAGTTTAGCAAATATATCTAAAATTGATGCTTAAGTACCTGAGGAACTATGAAGAATGTTAGCAGTGCCCTGCCATGTCCTGAATCCTCCATGCCAGACACTGTTTACACCTCCTCCAGGAGGAACCCAACATCCTGGTTTGGTGGGGGGAGGGGTGGGCAGCCGGCTGGTACAGGAATCTGAACCCTTGCTTGACCTTGGTGTTATCAGCACCATGCTCCCCAAGTGAGCTAACCGGTCAGCTCCAACATCCTGATTTTTAAAGTCAGCATCTCCTGGATTTTCTTGATGGTTTTGCCTACTTTTTATAAATTTCAAAATATAGTTTGGTTCTGTACATTATTGACATTTGTATGAATGGAATCATATGCTATGTTGGTCAGCTCCAACATCCTGATTTTTAAAGTCAGCATCTCCTGGATTTTCTTGATGGTTTTGCCTACTTTTTATAAATCTCAAAATATAGTTTGGTTCTGTACATTATTGACATTTGTATGAATGGAATCATATGCTATGTACTCTGTTCAGTCTTACTTCTCTTGCCCCATAAATGTCAGTAAGATACACTCATGTTGTTCCATTTGTCTCTGTATCATACATTTTCATTGCTGCTGAGTGCACCATTTCACAATTTCTCTCTCCATTCTGTGCTGATAGGCCTTTGTATTGCTTCCAGGTATTGGCAGTAACATCAGTGTTGCAATAAAAGTTTTTGTTCAACATAAGAGCTTTTTTTCTTAAGGAAGCAATTTCCTCCATCCTGAGTGTATGGTGTTCATTGCTGTTACATTGTGAATGAAGGAAAAATTGAGAAAATATTCAAAACAAGTATTCCATATGGCAAAGAAGTCACTCAGGTCATTGAATGAGTAAAATTCCAGCAGGTGTCTTTGTTTCACTGTCTTATTTGTTAATGAAGAGGTAATTTTTAGTTCAACTTTCATTAAACACGCACAGAGCAAAAAGATATGAACAAACATATCACTCAGGAAGATATACAGGGGGGCAAGTAAACTTATAAGTAAATGCTCAACATCATGAATCCTTAGGGAAATGCAATTAAAACCAGTGAGATACCATACACACTTATTAAAATAACTCAAATGAAAAAGACTAATCATACCAGGTATTAGCAAGCTTCAGAAGGAAGTGAAACTCTTATTCAATGTTGGCAGCAGTGTAAAAAGAAATAATATTTTAGATCATAGCTTGACAATTCTTAAAAAGTTAAATATTCACCTTACTCTATAACTCATTAATTGCACTCATTAACACAAGAGAAATGAAACGTGTAGCTGTTATTTGTAATAGGCAAAAAATGTAAACAACCCAAATGTCCATAACAGATGAATGGAATAAATAATGGTATATCCACACAACAGAATACTATTCAGCAATGAAAAGACTAAACTACTTTGTTGAATCTCAAAATAATTATGCAGCATAAATAAAACCAGTAAAAACAATAAACACTTTACAATTCCAATCATACCAAGTCGAACAGCCTAAAGTATCTACAAAAAAACTCTTGGAGGTGATAAATGAGTTCAGCACAGTAGCAGGATACAAAATCAACACACAAAAATCGGTAGCATTTCTATTCACCAATAGTGAACATGCAGAAAGAGAAATCAAGAAAGCCTGCCCATTTACAATAGCCACCAAAAAAATAAAATACCTAGGAATTAAGCTAACCAAGGATGTGAAAAATCTCTATAACGAGAACTACAAACCACTGCTGAGAGAAATTAGAGAGGATACAAGAAGATGGAAAGATATCCCATGTTCTTGGATTGGAAGAATCAACATAGTGAAAATGGCCATACTGCCCAAAGTGATATATAAATTCAATGCAATCCCCATCAAAATTCCAATGACATTTCTCTCAGAAATGGAAAGAACTCTCCAGACATTTGTATGGAATAACAAAAGACCTCGCATAGCCAAAGCAATGCTGAGCAAAAAAAATAAAGCTGGAGACATAACACTACCTGACTTTAAACTATACTACAAAGCTATAATAACCAAAACAGCATGGTACTGGTATAAAAACAGACACATTGATCAATGGAACAGAATAGAGAATCCAGAAATCAACCCACACACTTAAGGCCATCTGATCTTTGACAAAGGCACCAAGCCTATTCAATGGGGTCGGGACTGCCTCTTCAGCAAATGGTGCTGGGAGAACTGGATATCCATATGCAGGAGAATGAAACTAGACCCATACCTCTCACCATATACTAAAATCAACTCAAAATGGATTAAAGATTTAAATATACACCCTGAAACAATAAAACTTATTAAAGAAAACATAGGAGAAACACTTCAGCAAATAGGGCTGGACACAGACTTCATGAATACAACCCCAAAAGCACGGGCAACCAAAGGAAAAATAAACAAATGGGACTATATCAAACTAAAAAGCTTCTGCACAGCAAAAGAAACAATTAACAGAGCTAAAAGACAACAAACAGAGTGGGAGAAAATATTTGCAAAATACACATCCGACAAAGGACTAATATCCAGAATATATAAGGAACTCAAACAACTTTACAAGAAAAAAACAAGCAACCCAATCAAAACGAACAAGGTAACACCTTCCACTAAAGCCTTTCTCACATTCGCTTCACTCATAATCCCTATTTAGGTTGTGAAGTTTCTGGTGCTGAATCAGGACAGACCATTGTGAACAAGGTAACACCTTCCACTAAAGCCTTTCTCACATTCACTTCACTCATAATCCCTATTTAGGTTGTGAAGTTTCTGGTGCTGAATCAGGACAGACCATTGACTGAAGACTTTCCCACAATTGCTGCACATATAAGGCCTTTCTGTGCAATGGTAAACTTTCTGGTGTCAGATGAGGTTAGATCTTCAGCTAAAAGCTTTCTTACATTTGCTGCACTTATGAGGCCTTTCTCTGATGTGAATTTCTTGGTGCTGAACAAGTTGGGTGTTTTTGCTAAAGAATGCCCCACAATCCCTACACTCATGAGGCTTTTCTCCAGTGTAAACTATTTTGTGTTGAATGAGATCAAATTTGCAGCTAAAGGATTTTCCCACATTCACTGCACTCATAAGGTCTTTCTCCAGTGTGAACTGTCTGGTGTTGAATCAGGCCAGAGCTTTGACTAAAGTTTCCCACCTACCCTGCACTCATATGGCCTTTCTCCAGTGTGAACTCTATGATGTTTAATGAGGCTGGATGTGTCCCTAAAGAATTTCCCACATTCACCACACTTATAAGGTCTTGCTTCAGTATGAACTCTATGATGTTTAAAGAGGCTGAAGCTTTGGCCAAAATATTTCCCGTATTCACTGCATTCATAAGGCTTTTCTCCAGTGTGAATTCTCTTATGTGCAGTAAGCCTGGAGCTTTGGCTAAAGAATTTCCCACATGTGCTGCACTTATAAAGTCCTGCCCTAGTGTGAATTCTCTGGTGTTGAATAAAGCTGGAGATGTGAGTAAAAATTTTCCACATTCACTGCAATCATAAGGACTTTCTCCAGTGTGAATTTTCTGATGTCGAAAGAGATTAAACTTTCGGGTGAAGGTTTTCCCACATTTGTTGCACTCATAAGGCCTTTTTCTAGTATGGACACTCTGGTGCTGAACAAGTGCATGTTTGCGGCTGAAGGCTTTCTTGCATTTACACCAACTGTAAAGATTTTTCCCACTATGAATGGGTTTCCCACAAGCAGTACAACTATGTGGTTTCTGGTCATTACAAGTGGCCTGGAACTGGAGAAGGCTTGAGCTGGCAGAGAAGTTCTTGTTGACCTCCCCACAGGTAAAGGCCTTTCCTGACACAAGGAATCTGCAGCTCTTCATAAACGAGGCTCTTTTCATGTCGCTTTTCAAGGGTTGCTCTCCAACGTGCTGCTTCCATTGCTGGTGAAGATTCGTACTTAAACAGATTTATTTCTCACATGCCTTACATGTGTTTATTTTCTGCCCAGAATGTATTCTTTGATACAAAGCCTTACCCAAAATATATTTTAAAGCCAGGTCACACGTCTCACAGCGATTGGCCTTCTGGGGAGATGAACCTGTCTGGGGAGTCCTGACCTGTGACGGTACTTCTACAGAAACACTCTGCTCAGAAAGTGCTTCCTCATCTTTTGCTCTACTCCAGCAACCTGAAATCAGACAGTTTCTGGCGAAGTGCATGTAGACAGTGGTGGGAAGGAGCAGCCCCATCATAAACATGTGTCTAACACACCAATGAATAAATCCCTGGCACAGTCATCAGGAAAAGGGAGCGGGGTCACACTGAAGAAGCTGCTGCTGTACAGCATTAGGACTCTAAAGGTCAGACAATGAAGGAGGCCTCACCAGGTGAAAAACACAATGACAGGATGTGGCATAGGGAGAAGCAGGATCTACGACTCATTCCTCTGCTCAAGGTTTTCAGCAAGTCCTTGCTGCTGATGATCCATGAGCACTGTGCAAAAGAGTGTGTCCAAGCCCAGGAAAATCCAACTGCAAGAGAATAGCTGGTGTTCAAGAACTATTTTAGGATATGTACACACCTCATAATATAACATGTGTGGGCCAATGTTGGAAAGTACTGCAGAGGAAGCAGTGACAGGAAATGGTGAGACGTGAAATCCAAAGAGGTGAGAATTAGCTGGAAGTCACATTAGAAATGACAAGTCAGCAAATTGTCAAGAATGGAGGAGAAGAAAAATGAGGTGTGGTCACTGGCAACAGCACAAACACTCTAGTGGAACAGGATAGGTTTCTGGTATCATCTGAACACATTCCGGATGTTATACGCCCCACCACCTACCACTCCTCAGGGCCAGATTCCCTCTGAGTCCATCTTGCCATGGCTGGAGTCATTCCCATTCTGTGAACCACCCAGGACTCTCTTCACAGCCCCTCATTAAGCAACTATGTGGGACCTAATACAAGTCCTGAGAGAAAGACAGCACTGGCCCAGAGCAACTCAGCACACAACAGACCACAGGCAAAAAAAACTATTACAAAAAAATCCTCAGAGGAGTATCTTGCAAGAACAGTCTACATAAGTTCTGACCATGTCAATGATGAATTTTTGCCACAGGCAGGGACAAGGAAATGTCACCTACAGGAAGGGGCAAAACGTGGGGCACAGAAGTGCCATGCATTTGGACAGAGTCAGCCAGACAGTGAGAAGGCAAGCTAGGTGGGGCCCATTAGTGTAACTGCAAGACAACTGACCTGTAATCCTCCCCTGCGAGGCTTTGGGGCAGCAAGGGAAAAGAAAGGGCAGTGCACTCTGCCCAGACCTACCAACCTCAGCACCTACCCAGGGAACTGGGGAAAGAAGCAGTGCCCATGTTTGTGATGTGATAAGGACAGATCACCCCTGGGAAAAAAGGGGAAAGAAAGCCTAGTCCAGGTCACTGGAAAGGGTGTGAGCGCCTTACTCAGTGAGGTCACCAGTGGAAAGTTCTCAAGCATCACATCATAGTACAGGAGTCTCTGAGCCTCATCAAGGAGCCCCCACTCCTCCTGGGAGAAGTATACAGCCATGTCTTCAAAGGTCACATAGCCCTGTCAAAACAGAGACAGATGAAACCACAAACAGTCTCTCTTCTGAAGACCCACAGTCTTTTCCACACAAAATCATCACAGTGGTGCCACTGGTACCATTCTGTCCTCATGGTCCCATGAATTGCTATGTTCAGCCTTTAGCAATGATAGGCAGGTGGTCAGATAAACAACATCTAAACTCTAGACCTGGCCCTCAGGGTGCTCTCCTCCTGCTAAGCAATTCCTCTGCCCTTCTTAAGTCAGGTGTCCCAGACACACCAAATTTGAGCTTTTCCTTCAACCTTAAGTCCCTAATTCCAGTACCCGGGGGCAGTCAGTCACACTCCCTTCTCCATGTGCACATCACTCTTTAGACTACAACTCATTCATATCTCTAGAGCCCAGAGATGTGCCCTCTCCATCACCACCTCCTCCCTGCCCCACACCATAAGCACTTTTCCCCATGTTACTCAGCACATGGCATAAAGAGAAAGCTCAGCAAATTCAGAGGATCTATCTACCCCAGACTTCCAATGGCTCCCACTGCCAGGGGCAGCCCTGAATCCTTCTTTGAAAGCTTCCCTTTCAGCTGACTCTGTTCCTTGCTTCACTGTCAATCACTCAGAACCATATGCCCATCTCAGACATCCCTGGCTCTCTTCAACTTCTGTGCCACACGTTCTGTCCCCTCACCAGTCACAAACTTCCTCTGTCCCCCAATCCTTATTCAAAGTCCAGCCCTAGTGGTCCCCCATCCCAGGCCCAAGGGCTCTCACAGATGACCATATCTGACTCTAAAATAATCCACCAATCTGGCTAAAACACCCCAAACCCCACCATGGGTCACCACAAAATATTGGTGAGTCTACAGAGTGGTGAATAAGTACCAGTTCTGGCCTGAGTATCATCTTGCTTCAACTACTCTTATTTCTCTGCATCCATCTCATGTCTACTTTTCTCTTGGAAATTTTGGCCACCCGCCAGATCACCCTCTCTTCCACACTCTTGCCTGGTCACTTTTCTCCCTCACCTGTGTATTTAATACACTCCATGTCAAAGCAGATGCCCAAGTAAGAGGCTCAGTTATTGGCCTGCACCATCTTCTTTTTGGCCTGCTAACAGCATTACCACCATGACCGAAAGATACCCTCTCTTAAATGTGACTCACAGTTGCACCCTGGTCCATACAGCAGCAATTAACTTTGGGATGACTCCATTGAAACCCTCCCAAACCAGTTATGTCTAACTGCCCACTTGATGCCTCTCCTCAGTGTCTTCAAAAGGCTCTCAACACGGCTGAAACAAACCTGATATTCCCACTGAAATTTGCTTGTACTACTGACTACCCCATCTCAGTTGATGGAGCTTCCATCCTTCCAGGTATAAAATAAAACCAAAAACCTTGGGGTCATCCCTAACTCCTCCCTTTCTCTCCCTCATCCACATCAGAAAGTCTGGCTGGCCCTACCTAAAAAATACAAATCCAGAATCCAACCACTTCTCCCACCTCCATGACCACCATTTACATCCATCAACACTTACCTTCTCCCTGGTCATTTTCCTCCTTCTTTACACAAGAGTCTGGTCTCCACTGTGCGGCCAGATAAAGCCTGTTGAGACCTGGGTAAGATCATTTCACTACTCTCTTATCCAAACCTCTCATTACCTTCAGAATAGACATCCAAACTTTCAGGCAGTCATACCAGTCCTGCCTCCTGCCCCCATGAGCTCTGTTCCCACAAGAAGGAAAGGACACCTGCGGTTCCCTAAACTGTTGCCAGCCAAGGCACACCTCCAAGCATTTACACATGCTGGTACTTGCTCCTGGGATAAACTCCACACTTCTTTCCATTGTTGTCAGAAATGAGAACCCCTTTATGTAATATCCAGCCTTGGCTTGGGATTTCTCCAGGGTCCCACAGACCCAAGGGTTGGGAGAAGGGCAGGCAAAGACTCCAAAGACACCTCAATCCCAGAGACTATATGCATGGGGTCAGGATCAGCCAGGGCCTGGGAAACTCTCCACTCATGTATGTAGGTTTCATCAGTCATGGAACATGTAGGATGAGGCAGGCCATAGACAAATGCAACCATGGACAGGTTCCCTGGTCTCAGGCTTCACTGGTACTCCTGCCCCACACTGATGCCAGGTGACCTGAGCTGTCTAACCTCTGTTCCTCAGCGCTGCCTCTTACAGTTGTGTGACCTTGCACAAGAACTCAACATCCCAATACCTCAATGTCCTCATCAACCCCCATCCAATCCAGCCTTTAGGAAATATTTAACACCGTCATTCAGATCATGTCCTTCCTCTGTTCAAACCTCTCCATGACTCCCAGAACCTCAAGACAAATATACAACTATATATCCTGCCACCCAGGACACAAGAGACCGCAGGTTTCTCTTATCCTCCCGTCTCAGTCGCACATCCAAGACTTTACACACACCAGTCTCTCTGCCTGTCACACTCCCCCAGCACACTGGCTGTCAGAAATAGGGACCCCACCCCACCCTCATTGTCCCAGAGACCAGGGCCCGAGCTGCAGGGACGTAAATAGACGCCCCTCACTCGGGGCTTTGGAATTTGGATAAGGGAAGGGCAGGTGAGGCCCAG